TGTTGATGGACCTTTATTTTACTCATTTTACTCATATTCGGTGCTGAGAATCAAACCCAGTGCCTCACACATGCCAGGCAAGTGAGCCACAACCACTGAGACACAACCCTGCATTTATTCTTTGTGATGTAGATAATGTCTTGTCTTTGGCCAGTAGGAACCCTTCATGTTGAAATGACCCAGGAGTTTGAGGCCAGCTTGGGTAACAGAGCTTGTAACTCTTTATATACAATATTTTCTTAGTTCCAGAGTCAGAGTGAAAAAGGGGGTTCCATTCAGAGAGGTCCAGTTTCTGTCCCTATTCTTCCTCCTTTTTCCACGGGTAATCAATCCTTCTCCACCTGCTTTTTTTTTTTATGGTGCTGGGGATTGAACCCAGGGCCCCACACTTGCTAGGTAAGGACTCTTTATCACTGCTACATCCCCAGCCAGTCCTTCCCCATTTTAAAGCTTTTTAGTTATTCTATTTTTAAAATATGAACATACCTATAATTTATAATTACATTCTTTTATAAAAAGGGACTTGCGGGACTCACTCTTCTGTGCTGATTTACAATGTATTCTGGTGACCACCTGGGGGCAGAAGACAGGTCCTCCTCATCCATTCCTTTCCACAGTTGTTGGCACTCTGACAGGAAGTACCACAGAAATTCAGCTAGTTCTGTTGATGGGCATTTTGGTTATTTCTACTCTTTCACTGTTATAAGTAGAGTCACAACAAAGAGCCTTATGTATATGTCATTTCCTCAAAGAGGCGTTTTGATCACGTAGTGACCTGGTCAGATTTGCATTTCATAAAATCCCTCTGGTGAGAGACAAAGGGAAGACCTGGCAGGGAAGGTCCTGGAGGCCAGAGTAAGGACTCTGGGCCAGGCTTTCATGGTGTAGAGATGGCCAGACGGATGAAATCTTTAAAAATGAGAACGCAAACGCCGTGTCCCCACCCCTCACGGGTGTGTGTGTGTGTGAGAGAGATGGGGTCGTGCCCGTCTCATGGGATGAATGAGGGTGATGTGACTGTGTCCCTTCTCCCGCGGAGATAACCACCTTAACCACTCCACGGGGGGGGGGGGKGCAGCTGGGACTCACGGGATCCCGTTCCCACTTGGTGGGGAGGTGAAAGGTTGGCCATGCCCAGCCCCGGTGGAGAAGCAGGATTGGAGGGGCCGTGTGCGCCTTCAGCCCTCGCCACCTGCTCCCCACAGGGTGTCTCGCCTGGCATCTGAGAAGCGGGAGCTGGAAGCACAGCTGGGCCGGTCTCGTGAGGAGGCGCTCGCCGGGCGGGCGGCGCGCCAGGAGGCAGAGGCGCTGCGCGGGCTGGTGCGCGGCCTGGAGCTAGAGCTGCGGCAGGAGCGCGGCCTGGGTCACAGGGGAGCCGGCCGCCGCAGCCAGGACTGCCGCCGCCTGGCTAAGGAGGTGAGGGGGCCGGGTGGCCGGCGGGTATGGCCCGCAGGGCGCGGACGCTGGCCTCATCCTGGACCATGCCGCTCCCCTCCACTTCCTGCAGCTCGAGGAGGTGAAGGCGTCGGAGCGGAGCCTGCGATCCCGGCTGAAGACGCTGAACTGCGAGCTGGCCTTGTACAAAAGGGGGTGAGGGACCTCGGCCAGGGGAGGGCGGGGCCGGGAGGGGGTGGAGTCCGAGGCCGGTGGGAGAGGATAGGCGGAGCCTGGCGGTGGGCGTGGCTTGTCGGGTAGGAGGGTCCTAAACGTGGGGCTTAGGGAGGGATTCGTAATACTAGTGGAAGGGGCGGGCGGGGCCTGTGGGGAGATGGGCAGGACTTGAGGGGAAGGGCCAAGGGATTGTACGGAGCGACAAGGTGTGGCTCACGTGTGGGATCAGGAAGACAGTGCCAGCATTTATGGGGGTGGGTGGAAGAAAATTGGGAAGGGTTTTCAGGGGTCTGTGGGAGGTCTGGGAAAAAGAGTCGTGAATGTTATGTAGGGAAGTGACAGGGGTCTGTGGGGTGGGAGAGGCGGAGCGCGGCGGAGTGCCCGGTGGGTCAGCGTGAACTTGCAGGAATTGGTGGGGATAGGCCTGGGGATTCAGAGAAAGGCTGCGGTTGTCTTGGCCTGCGGAAACTAATAGCCCAACCTGTGCTCTCAGGAGGCGGTCTTCACCCGCGGTGCATCCCCCAGCCCGGGAAGGCCGGGCTTCATCGTCCCGGGAGCGCTCCACGTCTCGTGGCCGCGCCGCCGCCCGTTCCTCATCCCGGGAGAGCGGCCCTGGGATCCGAGGTCGAGGCCGACCTGCCCGCCCCTCGCCTTCGCCCACAGGTCTCTCTCCACCCATCCTGCCCTGCCCTGCCCTGCCCTGGCCTGCCCTGCCTTGGGGGGAGGCGGAACAGACTACCGTTGCGAGAGCCTGATTCAGCCTCCTCTCCCCACTTGCCCACACTGTCATAGGTGGTCGTGTGACCCGTTTCGACCCCACGGCATTTGTGAAAGCAAAGGAGAAGAAGCAGAAAGAGATCAGAATGAAGTTAGTGCGCGTTCTCTCTTCCCTGCCCTATTCCCCTCCGGTACTGGTTCCCTAACCTGGGCTTACTCTCTTGCCACTGGTGTCCCCGCCTCCTATCAGCCTCCGTCTCCTGTCACCTGCTGCATGTCTCCTTTTCCCCTTCGCCGTTCCCACTTCTCACCTGACCCCACCTCCTCTCCTGACCCCTTACTGAACTGCTTACTTGTTCCCTCCCCCCACCCCCCAATTGGTCTGGGTCCCTGCATCTTTTTCCTCTCCCAGGACAAGTTACCTCTGGTGCATCATCGGCTCTGGCAGCGACTCCTCGGAGCGCAGCGACGCCCTCCCTGCATTAGTTGGGCGCACAGCGGGGCGTCTCCGTTTTTTTCAGGCAACAGCAGCAGCAGCGGAACCGATTGGGTAGTGGAGGGAGCGGGGATGGCCCTTCCATCTCATGGTCTCGTCAGACCCGGCCCCCAGCTGCCGCGACTGGCCGTGGGGACGCAGCTAACCGCTCCCGGAACCGCAGCTCCTCGGGTAACCGGCCTGGAGCTGGGGGCGGGCGGGGCGGGACTGGCGATTGCTGGGGACTCACACCTGCCTCTCGCTCTAGTGGACAGTTTCCGCAGCCGCTGTTCCTCTGCCAGCTCCTGCAGCGAGTTCGAAGATTTCTCTGAGTCACTCTCCAGAGGGTAAAACTTGGATCCTGGTAGGATCATCTCGAAAGGGTGTTTGGGGAGACTGGAAACCTTCTTTTGCAGGGAAATTGGGTGATGGAGGCTGGGGGGTGGTGGTTCTTAAAACTACAAAGGCGGAGCAGGTGGGCTGTAGCAAGGACCCCGGTTGGTCCTTGATTACCTTCCTCTCTCAGCCTTCGCCGCAGCCGTGGGAAACCACCCAGCCCTACACCCTGGAGTGCGTCCAATATGGTGAGTGACTCTCCCAGGCCTTGGAGTAGGAGAGGTGATTAGCATTAAGCTCCTGGCAGCCAGCTGTCCCAGTTTCCCATGATTCCCTCCTTGGGATCAGGTTGCAGAGGTGACTCTGAAAGGCCTCTAAAAACAGGGTGTTTTGCCACTGTGGGATTGGAGAGAGAAATAGTGGGGGACACAGGATCTAGGCCCAAATTGCCAGGTCTTCACACCTGGCTCTTTCTACCTGAATGACTGGAAATACTCATTACTTACCTCTGGGCTGCACTTTCTTAATCAAGGATGGTTCCCTTAAAGGGTCCTTGTGATGACACAGGAGGATATTTTGGTGCCCAGTAGGTGTCAGCCCTTATTTCCCCTGAGGCCCTTGGGTTTAGAAATTCCAGTGATATTGGGGTTGGGGTGGGGGCAAGAACAGAGGGAAGGTGCCTGATCCCTTTGTTGCTTTCTTGTTTTCCCATCACCAGAAGTGCACCTCTCAGGAACACAGCAATCATCCGAGACGCCTGGCCAATTCAGGGGGCTGGGTCCCCATCAAAGGTGAGCGCACCAGCCCCAGATCCTGCACGGAAGGGACTGAGGGCAGTGCATGGGCCCTGAGCTCCCTCTGGCTGCAGCCCTTCATAGCCCCACCCATGCCTGCTCTCACAGAGTACAGCTCTGACCACCAGGCGGCTGATATGGCTGAAATAGATGCCCGCCTGAAGGCCTTGCAAGAATACATGAACCGACTGGACACCCGGTCATGACCATGGAGAGGTGGTACTGCCCCTCCACCGCCATTCACCAGTGGGTATGGTGTGGGGTAGAGCCAGGGTGGCCTTCCAGCCCCACCCAGGCGCTCCTGAGGTCTTAGGTTTGTGAAGCCCTGACCCCACCCACTCTCCAGGCAGTGCATGCTGGGAGATAGGGTATATGTGTTTTGTAAATAAACTTGTTTGTCCTTGGGACCCCTCAACTTATGACTGAAGGGTGGGGGTGGAGTGAAGAGAAAGGGGGAGGTTGGGTGTATAATTGGGATCTGTGGGTATTTCTGGGCATGTCTGGAGGCAGATGGGGGCTCAAGCTTAGGAAGAACTTCTACCTTCTCTCAAGCAATGCAAGGGGAGACCTGAGGAGTGGGAGCAAGCCGTCCAGTCCAAAGAAGTTTAAGCAGACGTTCTGCACAGGATGTCTTTGGTGGTGTGGTGGGGAAGGGGTGTCTTGCAGCATGGTCCACTGCCTGGGAAGCCCCCTGAGCTGCTGGTGGTGACATCTGAACCTACTTGGTGCTGATTCCTGGGCTCTGACCTGAGACCTCTGGGTTCTGAGCTGTGATGTTGCTTCCGAGCTGGGATCTCCGGGGTCTTGGTTCAGGGTCGGGGCCTCTGGGTTCTGAGCACCATCGAGGACAGAGTGCTGGGAGGAAGGGTGATGCTGGGACCTCGTGGGAGGGAGGAGCAGGGCATGTGGGGGGGCCAGTTCAGGAACACAGTTGGAGTTGCATTTATTTATTTATATATGTGGAGGTACTGGGGATTGAACCTAGGGGTGTTCTCCCACTGAGCTATATCCCCAGGCCTTTTTATTTTATTTTGAGACAGGATCTCATTAAGTTGCCCAGGCTGGTCTTGAACTTGTGATCCTCCTGCCTCAGCCTCTCAAGCTGCATCTTTATTGGAGGAGGAGGAGGCAGGGGTTTTCCCAGCTCTTGGGGAGAGAGGCATGGGGCAGGGGGCTGACAAGCAGGGCCTCACTCGCGGTAGTGTGGCCAGTTCTGGATGATTGCATAGAGCTGGTCACCCGGAGAGAGCGTCTGCTGCACATCCCGGTGTCCTTTGATCTCATAGTCAGGTCTCAGGGCTCCTATAGCCACACCGCAGGCCATCAGACTCTGGGCTGCTCGGATGGCCCGTGCTGGGGGCACCCGCTCTGGAGGGATAGATGCAGAAGTTAGTCTGGGGCTTCCTTGAAGGACAGAAGTAGTATAGAACGAGGTAGGGTGAATCTGGCCCTCTCTGGCCTGTTTGCTCCTTCATGAAAGGAGATAGTAATGGCAGCTACTTTATGGAAAACCCAAGGAACATCCCTAGAAGCTTTAGCAAGCACTGGCTGCCCTAATCATTATTGCTTATTCTCCCTCCTCTGTGTTCTGCCCATGCTGATAGCCAGCACCCACATCTGGACTGGGTGTATAGATCAGCTACTCCTCCCACCGTTACTCAAGGAGGAGATGAGGCTCAGGAAATGGAATCCTTTACCCGAGGTCACAGACCTTGTAAGTGGCAGAACCTCTCAGCCACTTTCCACCTGCTGCCCCATTCCCTGAGCCCATGCCAGCCTTCTGGACAGTAACTCACCCATGTAGTTGCCCATGAAGGTGATGCCAATGGAAATGGGGTTCCAGGTGGGGCCTGTGTGGTCTCCCTTGATGTTCCAGCCGCGGCCCTCATATACGAGCCCATCTTCTCCAATCAGAAAGCTGCGTGGGGGGGTCAGACTTGATGAGGAGGAAGGGCTTCCCTCCTCCATTCATCCCACTCTGTTCCTGCCACAGCACGTGCAATTTCCAGTACCCACTCCTCATCCTCTAGTTTTCCACAAGAACAATCACTGTGGCCCCTGCCACATGCCAAGCACAGCTCTGCGTGTACCTTTTTTTTTTTTAATTCCCATACAATCCATGGGTCACTGCCTCCCCACATTATAAAGAGATTTGGGGGAATGGGCGCTCCTGTCCAAGGTCACAGGCAGAGCCAGAGTTTTGCTCGGGTCTCCAGGATGCCCATCCTCATGGTCTTATTCCTTGTTCTTCCTGCCTGCCTTTTGGATTTGTTGAACCCTTACTTTGCTGAACCCTCACAAGACCACCCTCTGAGGTGTCTTTGCCACATTAAGCTGAAGAACAAAGACTCAGAAAGCCACATGATTTTCACAGGGTCCTGCCCCTATAGGTACTTGCCCCTTGGAAACAGGGGCTCAAGGGTTGGGATCACATCTGCTTCTTTGGGGTTTCCAATCCTGGCAGCAGATCCTAAAGATTCACTCATTCAACATGTCTTGGCTGAGCAAGTCTGACCGGCACCAGGGAATTAATGTGCATTATCTTCGGACTCAGCTCTCTGGGTCACAGAGTCACTGAGGATACACAGAATGTTGGAACTTCTGAATGCAACTCCTGGATCTGCCCCGTATGAAGCCAGCTCACAGAATCTGCCTTTGCAGAGACTAGAAATACTCTAATGATGCTGGCTGTGGGGACTGGGCCCGTGATGGTTTTGTCACAACCCTGGCGCTGGCCCTGTGCTGGGGCTCTGTGTGTTTATTGCTGGCTGCATCTAATTTAAACCTCAGCCACCCTTGTCAGGTGGGTACAGTCGAGCCCGATTTCCAGGTGGGGAGCTAGGCTGAGAGAGAAGGTGATGTGGCAAGGGAGGGGGCATTCAGAACCTCAGAATCAGATGCTGAATCTTCAAATCTGAGGAGCAGATGTCAGTGTGTATTTTCAAAAGGCTGTTTAGACCAGAGGCTGCAGCCCTGGCTTAGCTTCCTGACCCCGGAAACACTTAGGATCGAAGCCCCTGATCCTTGGAAACAAAACCTTGAAGCTGGAGCCTTCAGATGATAAAATCTCAAGTGGGAAGGGCTGGGGATACCCTTGTGGCTCCTAAACTTCTGAGTGGCATCTATTGGAGTAGGTTCCAGGGAGGGGCCTGAGAATCGGCATTCCCAGGAAGTTCTGCAGGTGATTACGGTGGGTGCTCACCTTGGCCTGAGAATCTAGAGGGTTCCAATGTTCCCTCTCTGGGAGCCCTTGTATGAGACCCCTCCCTGTTAAGGGAGCTGGGGGTCATGCCCACCCCTCTCACAGCTGCTTACCCCACCCCCTGCCCTGTTTCTGTTCTCCAGGGTGGTCTTCTCCCCACAGCCGCCAGAGGCAGCCTGACTACGCTCCTGCTTTTCAGAACACCCCCTCCCCTCCGTGGTTCCCTCTCAGAGTAAAAACCAAAGTCCTCACTGGCCCACCAGGCCCCTTCCAGTGTCCCGCCATTCTGCCATTCAGGTGTGATCTGCTCACTGGGCTTCACAGCATTTGCCCCTGTTCCCCCTGCAGCTTCCCTCAGCCCCCCATCCCAGAGCCATCCTCTCAGGTCCTTTCCTCCAGCCAGCCTTCTGAAGGCGCCTCTGGGGAGTCTGGCTCCAGCTTCTGCACAAGACAGACCACAGCAGGTGCTTAATGTTCATAGCGCGTGGGTTTTGGACTCCTGCAATATGCTAAGTGCGGTATGCTAAATGCTTCCCATGCATCAGGCCCAAGCCCAGTTCACCACAGAGGGGGGCTGAAGTGGAGAGGACCTGTCCTGGCTGGAAGGGACCTGCTCCGGGTCTCAGGCAGCACTAAGCCCAGCCTGGCCTTACACTCCAGCCTCCTGAGAAGGCGCCAGCCATTGTGAAGGGATTCCTTGGAGGAGGTGGAGAGGATCTCTGGTGCGTGAGGCAGTCTGTCTGCCCCCTCCTCTGGGCATCAGAACCGGGACCTGAGGTCCTCAGAGCACCTGCTGCTGTCTGCACCTACCTGTCCAGTCCTGGGTGGTGACCCTGGGAGAAACCACAACCCCCTCGAGCTCCAGTCAGCTGCGGAGGTGTCAGCCAGGTGGCTCCAGGACCAGATCTATAACCAGGTCCACCGGCTCACGGCTGCACCCCTGTCCCCTACGGTCCCAGTTCAGCCTTGCCTCCCTGCGCACTCACTTGTATGCCACGTCGCACCAGCCCCTGGTGCTGGCGTGGTAGTGCTGTACGTTCTGGGCCTGCTGCCGGCAGGAGGCCGGGGTGTCGCAGTTGCTGCCCGCAGTGTGCGATATCACCACGTAGCGCACTGGCTGTTTCAGGGGCTGGGAGCACTCCGACGCCCGGGCCCCCCATTCACTCCGGGGCACGATGGGGCCGCAGCAGGCTGGGGTTTCTTTATTTCGAGCTGCTCCTAGTCCGAGGAGGGCGAGGAGGGCCCAGGCGAGCAGCGCGCAGGGGCGGGACATGGCGGGCAGGGCGCGCAGAGCGGGCTAGGACCTGGCAGCGGGCGGGCCACCTTTATCTGCTGGAGCACAGCAGCTGGGAAGTGCTTGCCTCACACCCCTGCGGGACTTCCTGGGTCAATCACGCGGGACCCCGGTTTCCAACTTCCTCCTTTGGTAGGGCCCCACAGGATGCGGTGTGGTCGGGCGGTGAATCTGGGTCAGGTGGGGATGGGCGCAGAGCCCTGGGCGCTTAGCTAGGGGCGGGTATTGGATAACTTACCAGGAACTTGCACAGGAGGGAGAGGGGCCCAGGGCCTTGGCACATCTCCTTCCTGCAGGACTGAGCTAACAAAGGTTCCCATTTAAAAAAATGCTTCTCACAGGCCCAAAGGCTCATTTAACCCTTGCAGCCATCCAAAGAGGTGAGTAAAGGTCACAGCTGAATAAAATGAGGTTGGAAGAGGGACAATCACTGAAACATGCAGGTGGGTCCTAGAGCCCAGTGTCCAGAACTAGAATTCAGGACCAAGCTGCCCACCTTGGAATTCTGGGCACTTTCTGGTGTGTGAGCCCTGGCAAGTGATGTAATCTTTCTGTGTTTCAGTTTCCCCATCTGCAATGGGGGGATGATTAGGTGAGGGTCTCAGCGCATAGGGTTGGGGAGGAATTAAATGGGTTGAGCAGGATAGGGCCCTTCCATGTCTGGCACACAGTGACACATAAACATCACTGGGACCCAGACTCAGGTCTGCCCTTGGTAGTAAGCACCATGCTTTTCATGAGTGCCACTGGGAGCTCCATCCTGGAGAGGAGTCAACTGAATCCAGAAAGCAGCAGCCGCTTGCCTTGGCCTCTGAGTGGCTTCAGATCTGCTGTGGGGCAGAGGGCTTTCCCCAGGCTCCTGCCCCACCCGCATCTCCTTTCCCAGGCCTTCCCTGGAGCACATGGAGAACTGAGACTGTCTGGCTTCCTCTTCCTGTTTTCCTTCCACTTTAGTGAATCTTTAAAAAGTTTAAAAAGTGCTGTCTGTAATCCCAGCAACTTGGGGGGCTGAGGCAATTATGTCTGAGGCCAGCCTCAGCAACTTGGTGAGATCCTGTCTCAAAATAAAATAAAAAGGCCTAGGGTGTAGCTCAGTGGTAGAGGGCCTCTGAGTTCAACCCTCAGTCCTCATATTAAAAAAAAACCAGTCCCCATATTAAAAAAAAAACAAAAAAACTTTCAAGAAACACACTAGTTGTAACAAATTGAATTCTGCAGAGGTTAATTGCCCCCTCCAGCTCTGCACTCCTGAGGTCCCCAATGAGGGATGAGGGTGTACTTTTTCCTGCACATTTTCCATGCTCATGTAAATTATATTCACAGTCATGATAGCACCAAAATGACATACCAGGCAGCTCTAAGCAGGACAACTCTAAGCACCACAGAAATTGTCCCATGCTCACAAGAGGCTTGTGAGGTACATGTTATTTTACCATCTTTTACAGTTGAGGAAACAGGCGTACAGGTTACCATACCCAGGGAGGAGATGGTGAAGCCAGGGTTTGGCCCCCAGCTTCCTGCCTCCAGACATAGGGTTCTTAATCAATTCTACTTCCTGTAAGCTTGTGTAAGGGCATCAAAACCAACCAAATCAAAATCAGATGCATCAGCTTCCCCACTCCTTTTTGTGGTGCTGGAGATTGAACCCAGGAGTGCTACCCACTGAGTCACATCCTGAGCCCTTTTTAAAATTTTAATTTGACACAGGGTCTGGCTAAATTCCTGGGGCTGGTCTTTGAACTTGTGATCCTCCGGCCTCAGCCTCCCCAGTTGCTGGGATTATAGGCATGTGCCACCACGCCCAGCCTCTGTTTACCTTTTGTCACCTGGTATTTCACGTGTATCCTCCAGGGCAAAGTGGCCATTATTCATTAATTCCTCCTAGAGTTGCACAGTATTTCCTGGTGTAGCGCAGCACTGTTGATGTACTCTTTTTTGGAAGGTTCTCTGATCCTTTTTCCACCTTGTGCTGCCCAAAGTGTTCGGTGTCCCTATACACTGGAGCATTTATAAATATATTATAAAGACAGACTTGTTAAATCAAAAGTACATATTTAATAGATTTTACTACATTGCTTTCCCCCAAAGACTATTAGCAATTCACATTTCCACCATTGATGTATCGGTGCTTTCTCATCCCCACCCTTAAAGCAGGTGCTATTATTTCTCAAATTTATAGACACAAAGTGATATCTCTTTGGAACTTCAACTGACATTTTTATGACCAACCAGGAGATTGAGGAGTTTTCTGTGTGTTGTCCTTTGGATTTGCCCTTCTGTCAATACCTGTTTGTATCCATTGTCCATTAAAAATAACCTGGTTGTCTTTTTGTTATCAATTTGTGAAACAAAGAATACCATCACTAAGATTATTGACTTGTCAGGTATGTGTGTTTTATGTGTCTCAGTTCTTTTTAGAAACAATAAAGAATAATTTACATATAGAAAAATGTATAAATGCACTTTTAACAGATTTAATAGATTTGATAGAATAGAGTTTATGGACTTAATAGAATTGACTGCACATGCCAATTAATTTTCACAAAGTGAATCCCCCCATGTATGAGGACCTAAATCAACAAATAGAACACATGTAAAAGTTTCATAGATACTGCCAATGCCATCTCCAAAAGGGTTTTGTATTTCTTTTCCCCAGCAATGGAAATACATGCTTTACCAATCCAAGGAATGATATCTCAAAGTTTATTTGCATTTTCTTCCACATTAGAGAGGCATTTGTCTTTTTAATGTATTTCTGGCTGTTCGGATCCATGTTTTGTGAACTGTCTATTCATTTCTTAATAATTTTTCAATTGGGTTGTCTGTCAACTCTTTTCCTCCAATCTGTTTTAAAAATCAAATTTCTTTTATGATTTCTGTGTTTCCTCTTTTAAGAAGACTTTCCATACCATGATTATAAAACTTTTTGTGTTTTAAAAAATATTGTTGTTCTGCATTTTACTTTTAGAACTTTACTCTGCTCTCATTTATGTTTCCATGTGGTGTGAGGTAGGGGTCTAACTTTGTTTCTAAATGGCTGACCATTTACTCCAGCATCATTATTATATAGCTAGCAGGATGACCTTGGGCAACATTTCACATAGTTGACCCCCTCCTTCTTGAAATGGTCACTTCTCTAGCTTCTGTAGGTTCCACTTCCTCCACTCTGTCTAGTCACCATCTCCTCACTTGGATTTCTCTCCCTGCTCCTCAGTGATCTCCCAGTTTGCACTCTTGCCTTATGAGGCCAAAGTTCAGATCTGGTCAAGGCATTTCTGAAAGTCATCTTCAAAATGAGTCACCTCGCTTGTGATTTCTCATGATCTGTAGGATAAATCCTGAGCTCTTTGTCATGACTGACAGCACAGACTGCTCTTACCACAGCCGTGCCTGAGACCCCCAGCCACCCTGTCCTTGCTACACTTGAATATATGTGGTTGCCCTGTAACCACGGGGACTTTGTACATACCCTGTACAAATTCTAAATAGGGGAAACTTGAGAAATCAGGAACTTTGTACCTCAACTTTAAGATTACAAAACACTGAGCTAGCTTTTTGTAAAAAGACAGGGACATTAGCATATCAGATTCCTCATGGGTCCTAAGAATATGAACATGAGCCAGGTGGGGTGAAATCTCCCCTTGTTAGAGTTTGGTTTATTCTGTATTCTGCCAGCCTAAAAGGAAACATGCCTTATAGGCATTTACTGCAGCTTCAATGGGTAATTTTTATATATTGCATTTAGTCCCGAGTTTATATTACTGTGTATGTTTTTGTTGAGAGGAAATTAGATTTACTTCCTGTATGTTTTAGAAAGTTGAATTTTAAAATCTCTATCTAGCCCACCAGCTGCCTTTACCTCACATGTTGTCATTAGCTTAGCTCCTGTAAGAACTCAGCTTCTCCTGGAGTTGGTAAAAACATTTGCCATTTTTTGTATCAGAAATGATAGAAATAATATTAAATGAAGATGACATTTAACTACAAAGTGGCATCTTGATTTTTTTGATGTCCCTAAGCTCTCCTCCTCCTCCCCCATCCTAGTTGTGACCTATGTTCCTTCCATGTTCCCTCCTTAAGGGGACATGCTTCTTTCCAGTATGTCAGAGTAGGAAAAAATTCCTCTGTTTTCTCCACACCATTTCCTCTCTTACTTTTATCATGACTGTAGCTTTTTATTTGCCTGTTTTCTTCTTTGGTCAATTTCTGTCTTTCCTAGTGTATAATGATGTCTATACACAGGGTCATCATTTAATTTATTGTCCAAATGCCAACACTGAGAGCAAAGGAGGAAGCTATGAATATCTATTCTGGGTCAATGGGCACAGTTAGACTATCTCAGATAGGCCCAGATTAAAGACAAAGAGGGGATGGCCATTTCCCTCTCACCATTATATCCCCGGTCCCTAGTGCACATCCTAGGTGGTGATCTGTGCAGGTGAGTCACACACACACAGATCTGTTCTCAGTTTCCCCATCTGTGCATTGGGACTTAGCGACAGTCCCTCCCCCACAGGACTGTTGCCAACATCAGGGCTGCCCCTCATCTGTGGGCTCCTGGACAAGAGTACAGGGAGGGAATGCATGTAATTGATTAAAGTGGTGACACACATCAAGCTAACAGCTGTTAAACAACATCTGATCTACCCCCTGCACCAACACACCTTTAAAAAGACAAAACACAGGTGCCAGACAACAGCCCACATCAAACGACTGGACAGCGCAGATTCTGAATGGACCACTCTTCTATCAAAGCCTGTGGCTCACTCTGGAGCTGGGGTAGACGACCAGATGTGGGTAGCTTTTGTTGAGTCACCTGGCTACCATCTGTCAGCTCTTTTCTGAGCAATGTGGGAACACGCCGTTTCTTTCTTCCTCCTCATTGAGGGGGAGAACTGCCCTCTCACCTGCCCTCACCTGAGCTAACTCAGGCAATCTTTCTTTCCAGGTGCTCCCAGCCCCCCACGGTAGACAGCACCCTTTTCAGTTCCTTAGAAGAGCCAGAGGCTAGAAGAACTTGCTGGCATTTAGAATTCTTAGACCATTTAAAATTTTGCCCAGAGGCAGCTGCTGGTTCCCAACTTGCGGTCCTCTTTTAGGTCCCTAAATCCTTGGCATCCTTCCCCACAGTGGAGGTGAGGGGCTC